AAAAAAAAAAAAACTGATTCTAAAATGTGCACGGAATAGCAGAATATCTATAGTTCTTACATTCCTTAAAAAACAAAAAAAAGCAAAAAGCATAAAGGGACTTGTCCTACCAAATATAAAGACTCAGAAAACTGCACTCTATTATTTTTTTAGAAGCACCACTGCAGATCACTGGGGAAAGGAGGGGCTACTTAATAAATGGTCCTGGATCAAATGGTTATCCTTAAGGAAGAAAAAAATAAATCTAAATGGAATAGGGGCTTGAGTACAAAATGCTAAAATTTAAAAATCATTCTTAGAAAAGAATAAAAGATCAAGATTCTGCCAAATTTGAAAATACCTGCATATGGAGCCATTCCTAATATAGTGGGCATCAGGCCTCTGTAAAATCCAAGGAAACCACCTTCCTTTTGAATGAAGAAAAATTAGAAGTGAGATATTGTGCTTAGTATGAAAACATCAGAAAAACAAAAGCCTACATTCCAATGAAAAATTTATTCTGGAACCCACCCTTAAACATAGATGTGTCATAATTTTTATTAATATCAATAACCATAAAAGAGTTTAAATAACATTCAAAATATCAGTAGATCTTGTGACTCTTGATCTTGGGGTCAAGAGTTCAAGCCCCATGTTGAGCATAGAGCTTACATAAAAAAAGGGGGGGCACAATATAGGTAAGAAAAGTAAATGTGAAATACCTTTGCATAAATTGTTTTGAATGCATGAATAATTCCTGTGTAAGTGTGTTCCCCTTTCACCTGGAATGCTAGGCGTACTCTCACCATGTCAAGAGGGTAAGTACAGATAACTGCTGTCATACCTGAAAAAAAAGTAGAAAGTTAAATGTAAAATCATATATATGTATCTTCCTATCATTAGTAGTGCTCTCAAATTACAGCGATGTTGAAAACCCAATGCAATAAAAAATGATAGCTTACTGAGAATTATATCATAATATCATCAGCTGAAAAAACAACCTTGTAAGCAAAGGGTCACTTTGTAAAATCTTTTCAAATTCTTCCCACTGTGACGTTATATTATTAACAGGAAAATAGTACAGTATAGGTGGATCATGAGTATTTTTTTAAATTCTATTTCTTGTCTATTCCCAAGTAGGATACCAGAAAGAAAAAACTATCTTCTAGCACTAGGCAAGATATTTGACTTTTTATTTACTATCTCTGATCCTAAAATGAAGAGATGTTTTACTTACCAAAGGAATTCTTTTTTTTTTTTAAGATTTTATTTATTTATTTGACAGAGAGCGTGAGGACGTACACATGAGCAGCGGAAAGGGAAAGGAAGAAGCAGGCTTCCCGATGAGCAGGAAGCCTGACGCAGGGCTCAATCCCAGGACCCTGGGATCATGATCTCAGCTGAAGGCAGATGCTTAACCGACTGAGCCACCCAGGCACCCCCTGGGATTCTTATAAAAATAAAATAAAGGCATGTTTTTTTTAAACTTCAAAGCATGATCATTATTTTCTTTTTAGTACTTTGGTAAATTTGTTGTTGATGAAACATAATAATATAAATGTTCATAGTCATAGAAAATTTGTTTTAGGAATAAAAATCTGATAAGCAAATTTAGTATTAAGTTCTAGATTTTCATCAATATATAATTTTCAAATTGCATGAACTATCCAGCTGAGCTATTTTAATTAAATCATCTATTTTTTATTTTTTTTAAGATTTTATTTATTAATTCATGAGACAGAAAGAGAGAGAGGCAGAGGCAGAGGGAGAAGCAGGCTCCCTGCAGAGCAGGGAGCCCGACGTGGGACCTGATCCCAGGACCCTGGGAACATGACCTGAGCCGAAGGCAGACGCTTAACTGACTGAGCCACCCAGGCGTCCCTTAAATCATCTATTTTTAAAATAAGTATTACCGGGCGCCTGGGTGGCTCAGTTGGTTGGGCAACTGCCTTCGGCTCAGGTAGTGATCCCGGAGTCCCGGGATCGAGTCCCGCATTGGGCTCCCTGCTCAGCAGGGAGTCTGCTTCTCCTTCTGACCCTCTTCCCTCTCGTGCTCTCTCTCATTCTCTCTCTCTCAAATAAATAAATCTTTAAAAAAAAATAAGTATTCTTTTTAAAATTTTTATTTCAGTATAGTTAACATATAGTGTTAGTTTCAGGTGTATAATATAGTTTCAACAATTCTATACATTACTCAGTGCTCATCAAGATTAAGTGTACTCCTAATCCCCTTTACCTAGTTCACCCATCCCCCCATCCACCTCCCCTCTGGAAACCATCTATTTGTTTCCTATACTTGACTCTGGTTTTTGTTTTGGAGGGTTTTTTGGGTCTTTTTCCCCTTTGTTCCTTTGTTTCTTAAATTCCTCCTATAAGTGAAATCATTTGGTATTTTTCTCTGACTTATTTGGCTTACCATTGTATTCTCTAGCTCCATCTATGTTGTTGCAAATGGCAAGATTTCATTCTTTTTTATGGCTGAATAATATTCCTGTGTGTGTGTGTGTGTGTGTGTGTCTCACATCTTCTTTATCCATTAATCTATTGATGGTCACTAGGGCTGCTTCCATAATTTGGTTATTGTAAATAATGCTGCAAAAAACATAGGGGTGTGTATATCCTTTGGAATTAATGTTTTCATATTCTTTGGGTAAATATGCAGTAGTGGAATTACTGGATCATATAGTAATTCTATTTTTAATTTTTTGAGGAATTTCCATATTGTCTTCCACCAGTTTGCATTCCCACCAACAGTGCGCAAGGGTTCCTGTATCTCCACATCCTTGTCAGTACTTGTTTCTTGAGTTATTTTAGCCATTCTGATCAAGATGTAAGGTGACAGGGCGTCTGGGTGGCTCAGTCGTTAAGCGTCTGCCTTTGACTCAGGTCATGATCCCAGGGTCCTGGGATCGAGCCCCGCATCGGGCTCCCTGCTCGGCAGGAAGCCTGCTTCTCCCTCTCCCACTCCCCCTGCTTGTGTTCCCTCTCTATGTCTCTCTCTGTTAAATAAATAAAATTTTAAAAAAAAGATGTGAGGTGATATCTCATTGTGGTTTTGATTTGCATTTCCCTGATGAAGGGTGATGTTGAGCATCTTATGTGTCTGTTGGCTATCTGTATGTCTTCTTTGGAGAAATGTCTGTTCATGTCTTCAATTTTTTAATTGGATTATTTGGGTTTTTTTTATGTTGGGTTGTATCAGTTCTTTATATATTTTGGATACTAACCTTTATTGGATATATCATTTGCAAATATCTTTTCCCATCCAGTAAGTTGTCTTTTAGTTTTGTTGATAGTTTACTACACAGAGTGCTTTTTATTTATTATTTTTTTAACTTTTTAAAAGATTTTATTAATTGAAAGAGAAAGAGCAAGAGAGAGCACAAGCGGGGTGAACGGCAGAGGGAGAAGCAGGCTCCTTGCTAAGCAGGGTGCCCAATGCAGGAATCAATCCCGGGACTCTGGGATCATGACCTGAGCTGAAGGCAGACACTTAACCCACTGAGCCACCTAGGCGCCATCTTATTATTATTTTTAAAGATTTTATTTATTTATTTGAGAGACAGAGAGCACAAGCAGGGGGTGGGACAGAGGGACAAGCAGACTTCCCACGGACCTGCCACCCAGGCACCCCTATTTATTATTATTGTTATTATTATTTTTTAAGATTTTATTTATTTAATTGACAGAGAGAGCACAACCAGGGGGAGCAGCAAAGGGAGAGGGAGAAGCAGGCTCTCCACCAAGCAGGGAGACCAATGCAGGGCTTGATCCCAGGACTCTGGGATCATGACCCAAGTTGAAGGCAGACGCTTAATGGATTAAGCCACCCAGGTGCCCCACCCCAATTTATTTATTTTTTTAATTTTATTTTGAAGTAATCTCCATACTCAACATGGGGCTCAAACTCACAACCTTGAGATCAAGAGTCACACACTCGGGCACCTGGGTGGCTCAGTTGGTTAAGCGACTGCCTTCGGCTCAGGTCATGATCCTGGAGTCCC